CTGCTGCTGCTGCTGCCTTCTTGCTGCTGCTGCTGCTGCAGGAGCTCATGCCGCCCCCAAGCGGCTGGATCCAACCCCACATGGCCCCTCAAGGGTCCTCCCTGCTGCCCCGAAGTAGAACTGGGGTCCCCTGAGAGGCCCCGGGGGGCCCCCGAGGGGCCCGTACTTCTAGGGTTCCTGAGGTCCCATAGGGGTCCCGGGGGGCCCCCTAGCCCCCTTGGGGGCCCCTAGCGCCCCCTGAGGGCCTCTGAGGGGCCCCTGGAGGTCTCGAGGGGCCCCCGAGGGGCCCCAGTTGACCTCTTTAGGGCCTCTGGGGGCCCCCTGTGGGCCCCGTGGGGGCCCCCTGGGGCCCCCTGGGGGACGCTGGGGGCCCCCCAAGGGGCTTATGAGGGCCTCCTGATTGGCCTGTTGTAGTCCCTTTTCATGGGCAATCATTGTTCAGCTCTGTAGCTGTAGCTGCTGCTGCAACTCGCAGGGAGAAGCAGCAGCTGCTGCAACAATTGCAGCAGCAGCGGCAGCAGCTGCAACGGCAGCAGCAGCATATCCATGTGCAGCTGCACCGTTCCTGCTGCTGCTGCTTCTGCTGCAGTGCCTTCTCCCTCGCCTGTGCAGCTGCAGCCCTAGCTAGCCATTTGCAGCTAGCTGTGTAGAGTAAGGGAAAATGTCTTACTGAACAGACATTCTATTGACTAGACGAGCAGCCGCAGCAGCAGCAGCAGCAGCAGCAGCTGCAGCAGCAGCAGCAGCTGCAGCAGCTGCAGCAGCTCTAGCAGCAGCAGCAGCTGCAGCGGCTGCAGCAGTAGCAGCAGCTGCTGCAGCTGCAGCAGCTCTAGCAGCAGCAGCAGCAGCAGCTGCAGCAACAGCAGCAGCAGCAGCAGCTGCAGCAGCAGCAGCTCTAGCAGCAGCAGCAGCTCTAGCAGCAGCAGCAGCAGCTGCAGCAGCTGCAGCAGCAGCAGCAGCTGCAGCAGCAGCAGCAGCAGCAGCGGCTGCAGCAGCAGCAGCAGCTGCAGCAGCTGCTACAGTCGCAGCTGGAGCGCAGCAGCTGCAGCAGCTGCATTTGTGTCCGGTCAAGAGTAAATAAGTATGATTAGAAGAGCAAATTAAGAGAACATATTTCGAAAAGTTGTATAATTCAAAACTCATTAATGAGTTCTCAGGAACTCAACTCTTTCTGCTTTTAGACTTGTGCAGCAAACAGAGAGAGCCTACTGGGAGCTAGCTAGCTAGCCGCCCGCAACTGGCTAGCTAGCTAGCTAGCTAGCTACCTAGGTGACTCGCTAGCTAGCTGGCTAGCTAGCTACCCACAACTGGCTAGCTGGCGAAGTTGACGGCTAGCAAGCTCCACATGCAACTATTTATCTAGGAGATAGCCTTACCACCTACGTAGCTAGCTAGCTAGCTAGCTAGCAGGCTAGCTGGACAGCTAGCTAGCTAGCCAGTGGACCAACTAGTTAGCCAGATGGCTAACCAGCTAGCGAGCAAGCCAGATAGCTACCTAGACAGCCAGCGAGTAGGCCAATCGACTAGCTAGCTAGCTAGCCATCTAGCCAGCCAGCTAGCTAGTCGGCTAGCTAGCTAGCTAGCCGCTGCAGGCCTGGCTTTTGTTGTCCCTTTTGACCCCCTTGCGCACTTTCTGCTGCTGCTGCTGCTGCTGCTGTTGCTGCTGCAAGGCTTTAGCTGCTTTGTTTACTGCGGCTCCGTTTTGTTCTTCTTTTATTTCCTTTTCTTTCTTTGGCAAGTTTACTTTTCTTTTTGTCTCTTAGCTTTTTGTTTCTTTCTCTCTTTGACCCCTTTTATCATATATATATATATATATGTATATATGTATCATTTCCCCGATTTGTTTTGCTGCCGCTGCTGCCGCTGCTGCTGCTGCTGCTGCTGCTGCTGTTCTTGTTGCTGCAGCTTGTTCTCTGCGCCTGTTGGCGTTGCATACCCTGCTGCAGGTGCTGCTGCAGCTAGCTGTTGCTGCTGCTGCAGCTGGTTGTTGTTGCTGCTCGTGGCTGTAGCCTATCCGCTGCGTTTGTTGGCGCCGCATTTGCCGCTCCAGCTAGCTGTTGCTGCTGCTGCAATTGCGCAGTTGTGGCTGCAGCTAGCTACAGCTAGCTGCAGCGACAGTGATGAGTGCAGCTAGCTGCAGCGGGCTACAGCTAGCCACAGCCAGCTACAGTTAGCTGTAGCTGGGATAGCCGCGTCGCCTCCAGCTGTGTCTGAGACTAAGACGGCGAGTTGCTGCTGGTGCTGCTTTTGCTGCTGCTGTTGCTACTTTTGCTGCTGCTGCTGCTACTTTTGCTTCTGGTTTAACTTTTGCTGCTGTTGCTGCTTCTTTTGCTGCTGCTTTTGCTGCTGCCTAAATGCTAGCTCGTTCCTAATCTGCTGCATCAAAATCCATTCTGTAGTTTCTGCTGCTCAGGGCCCCGCCCCTGCACTCCCAGCAGCAAGCTCCGAAGAGCCAGCCAAGCCAGCTAAACCACTTCGGTTCCCTCGGCTAGCTAGCTAGCTAGCCAGCTAGCTAGCTAGCTGGCTAGTTAGCTGGATAACTAGCTGGCTGGATAGCTCGCCAGCTAGCTAGCTCGCTAGCTAGCTAGCGCCAGTTGGATAGCTCGCCAGCTAGCTAGCTTGCTAACTAGCTAGCTCGCTAGGTCGTGAAAGCCAGGCAGCAGCCGGCCAGCTTGCTGGCTAGCTGGCTAGCTAGCTGGCTAGCTAGCTGGCTAGCTAGCTGGCCAGGAGCTAGCTAGCCGCCGAAGCAGCTAAAGAAGTCCAAGAAGGTGCATGCACAAAAAGCACATGCGTCTGCTGCGCTCAGATGTCCATACACCCGAACAGCTGAGCATGCAAGCGAGCAAAGAAGAAAGAAAGATCTTCTTGATGCTAAATAATAACATTTAATTGCAAATTAATTTCAAAATAATAAATCAACTTCACAAACGAGCATTTAAAGACACAAGTTGGAGCTGCCGCGGCGGGCGCGCACCCAGTGTACGTACACCTGAAGAGCGAAAACAAGAAAAAGCAAATCTGCACAAAAGTTCTTTTTTTTGCATTTTTTCCTTTTAAAGAGCAGCAAAAGGAAAAAAGCAACAAAAGAAACATATATAAACAAGCAAAACCTGAGTCTGCGGCCCCGGCAGCATTTAAATGGACTTTTGGGATTTCGAAAATGCGAAAATGAGGCGAAGACGCAGCACGCGCTCGGGTGTACGTACACCGGGTCCGGGTGTACGTACACCCCTCAGCAGCACTTTTGCATTTCAAATTCGAAAAGAAAAAAATCAAATTTTATTTCCGGGATCTTGCAAAATCCACAAGTGCATTTGCGGGGCCTCAGTGGGCTCTTCCGAACTGGCGCCGCCGTTGCTGCTGCTTCTGCTGCTGCTGCCTCTGCTGCTGCCTCCGCTGCTGCTGCTGCAGCTGCTGCTGCTGCTGCTGCTGCAGCTGCTGCTGCTGCTGCTGCAGCTGCAGATGCAGCTGCAGCGCCAGCTGCAGCTGCTGCTCCTGCGGGACCTTCAGGTAAACACGCTCCACTTCTGCTGCTGCTCGTTCAAGAAACTTCGGATCTCTTTTTAGTCTCCGGTCCAGCAGCGCCCCCATCGGCAGCAGCCCCTTAAACCAGGCTTCCTTCAGCGCCATGTCTAGCTCTGCAGCAGCAGCAGCAGCAGTACAGCAGCAGCAGATGTGCAGCAGCAGTAGCAGCAGCAGTATACTCTCAGCAGCAGCAGCAGCAGCGTGTTCACCATCACCGCCATCAACTTCATCCTCACAGCAGCATTAGACCACCACCACAATCACCATCATCAGCAGCATAACCACCAGCACCACAAGCAATAGCAGTAGCAGCAGCAGCATGATAATCATCATCAGCAGCAGCAGCAGCATCAGCAGCAGAACCACCACCACCACAAGCATCCCCATCCCCACCACCCCCTAAAACCCCTCATCATCCTCATCACCACATCAGCAGCAGCAGCAGCAGCAGCAGCAGCAGCAGCAACAGGCGGACCCTGGCTGGCGACGTAGGGCCTGCCGCCCCAGGTGCGGAGGAAGGCGCTGCTGCAGAAGCTGCTCCATTTGATTTGCTGCAGCAGCCCCGCCAGCAGCGTGAGGGCGCAAGGCAGCGCATGCATGTGGGTCCAGACGAGGGCCATGCTGTTGCTGAAGCGCCGCAGCTGCTGCAGCCCCAGCAGCCCAGCAGCAAACTGCAGCAGCCGCCCCCTTTTGCTGCTGCTGCGGTACTCCGCGCCCAGCCAGCTCAGCCCGCTAAACAGCAAACGCCCCGAGGGCTCCTCCCGCACTAGCGCCCGCGCCAGCGAGTGCATCGGCAGCTGCAGCAGCAGCAGCAGCAGCAGCAGCAGCAGCGCAGCAGCAGCAGCAGCGCAGCAGCAGCAGCAGCAGCAGCACAGGCAGACGCGCGGCGGTGCAGTTCGATGCCCGTGCGGGTACGCGCGCGGGCATACGTCCTTTTGTAAAGGGCAACCACGAAATCCTAAACCCTAAGCCCCAAACCCCAAACCCTAAACGCCAAACCCTAAACCCTAAACCCTAAACCCTACGGTGATGGTGTGTTCGTAGTCCTTTTCCATGTAGGCCTTTCCCTTGGCCTGTCGCAAATCGGGGACTGGATCCACATCAACAACTAAGTGCTGGAAGATGGCCCCGTGGCGCTGCAGCTCCTTTATTGCTGCGCGGTCTCCAATCTGAACAAAAACAAAAACGGACTGCTGCTGCTGCTGCTGCTGCTGCTGCTGCTGCTGCTGCGGGTGCAGGTGCGGGTGCTGCTGCGGACGCTGCTGCTGGTGCGGCTGCTGGTGATACTGGTGGTGCTACTGCTGCTGCTGCTGCTGCTGCTGCTGCTGTCGCTGCTGCTGCTGCTGCTGCGTGCCAGTGGACTGCGTAGTGGCATTTGCGTGGATTTATGTGGGGACGTATTTGGGGGATATTAATTGCATTTGCATGCAAATGAACAACGAAAGAATAATAAATTAAAAATGGATAATTTGGCAAATCTTCAATTCACTTTTGATGCATTATTTATTTGCACTTGTTTCTATCAGGGCGTTCGAGTGTATGGACACCTGAATGCTGTGGGATCACGAATGCGATTTCGCGAATTTGAGTGAATTTAAATGGATTTTGAAAATAAATTAACCTCTATTTAAATAAATAAATAAAAGCTGATTAAATGCATTCAAAAAGTGATTCAAAGAGCCTTGAATTGACGGGAAATCGCAAAGTGAAAGCTGAGGTGCATGGACGCTGAGGTGTACGTACACCGCACGCACCAGGGGAGCAGCAAAAGTGATGCAGTAAATAACCACCCTTCCTTTTTGAATTTGTTTTTTCAAATGTTTGGAGACAAACCAGGCAGCAAGAGAGGCGCTGGCCCCCCCCTGAGAGTGTCCCGTGAACACAACCACCAGCGGCCTCTTGCTCCCGCTGCTGCTGCTGCTGCTGCTGCTGCTGCTGCTGCTGTTGCTTCTGCTGCTGTTGCGGCGGCGGCGGCGCTTCAAGAGGGTCTTCACCTCGCTCACGAAGCGCGTCAAAGGCCGCCGCAGCACTTGATGAAATAAAAAGCTGAAGCCCGAGTGCAGCCGGGCCTTGGGGGAGAAAAAGGGGTCTCGAACGGGGTTTGTCATGGTGTTGAAGGTCCATTGCTGCACGAAAACACGTGCAGCAGCAGCAGCAGCAGCAGCAGCAGCGGAGGCAGCAGTTTGGGCTCCAGACGCGAAAAAGACCCCGAGCCTAACGCTCCTGCTTCTGCTTCGGAAGCGAAACGCTCTCCCGCCACTGTGGGCTCGCAGCAGCAGCAGCAGCAGCAGCATCGCGAACGGCAGCAGCAGCAGCAACAGCAGCACCCGCAAAGACAGCAGCAACCCCACACAGCAGCACCCCCAGCAACCCCAACACAGCACCATCCCCAGCACGCTCAGCAGCGGCACCCGCAACAGCAGCAGCAGCAGCAGCACCCCCAGCAGCAGCAGCAGCAGCACCCCCAGCAGCAGCAGCAGCAGC